CTGAATACCACCAACTCCATGCAGTCCAACTGACTTTAGCACAAGGTGAAGTTCAATTGACTACCACCAACTCCAACTAAAGGATTGTGCAGTCCAACTGACTTTAGCACAAGGTGAAGTTCAAGTGACTAACTTTGACTCAATAATATTCCACATAATTAAGGTAGATCCATTTTCGATAATCACACTGTCACGCAATCCAAATGACAATCACATACTACAAAATACATGAAGATGCAATTTCCTTTATATTCTAATGCAACAATTTACAAATTATTCTGACATATGTAATTTGTATTAACATGTGAACACATGTTGCATAATCATATGTAAGACATTAAACATGTCAACACACATAATTTTTTTCTTTGATGAAGACGAAGAAATGATTTACTTATTTTAGAATGAAGCTGAAGTTGATCTGTTTTATGTTGATATGAAGAAAAAAATACAAGGCTGGTGAAATTTCCACAATAGTTTCATCCTTGTATTTTTTCTCAATAGCAACTCAAACCACACATTCATAGTAATCGCTTTCTTGAGTTAATTTTTTTTATTCACCTTACCTACAAGTCAAAAAACACCATGCCAAATGTAAACAGATTTGAAAGCATAAATTCCTAAACCAGATTTACAAATATAAACAGCTTTCAAAAAAGCACCATGGAATGAATAGTTCGAAGAATGATGTACCTTAAAAGTTCTTCAATGGTGATGAAAATTAGAACCTATACAAAGAAAAATGGAAAAAAAATCTATGAAGAAGAGGAAGAAATAATAAATAGCGTTGAATCAACATGATATGTTAGTAAGAAAGAAGAAATATAATGATTACCGTTTAGTATGAAGAAAAAGAATGACGATTACTGCATGTCGAATATGTAAGAAGAAGAAGAGGAGAAAAAATGTTAGAGTTTTTCTTTGAGAGAGACAACGCCTATTCAGTCAAGAAGTTGAATATATATATTCAATAGTCTTTTTAACGAAAAAACAAAAAAACATTGGTGTTGGAATTCGATCTCTGTCACTCCATGCACATTTAACTACAATTGCTTATAATGGCCGTAATGAAATATCTTTGGATAAATATATTAAAAAAGAACGCGCCCAAAAATGAGGTATTACCACAGTTAGGGCTGGAAATGAGTCGAGTCGAGTCGAACTTACCTCAGCTCGGCTCGACTCGTTAAGAATTGTTCGAATTCGAGTTCGAGTTCGAGTTCGACACGAACTTTTTTTTAAGCTCAAACTCGACTCGTTATAAGTTCACGAACAGTTCGGTTCGATTCGTTAGGTTCATCTCATTAGGTTCAGCTCACATGGTTCACGAACTTAAAAACTATTTTTTTAAATAAATATATATATATATATATATATATATATATATATATATATATATATATATTTTAGTATATTTGACATTTTAAATAAATATATATTTTTTAAATAAAATATTAAAATAAAATAAAAGTTATCATATTGAAATTTAACTTTATCTTCGAAATCTACTAATTCAAAACCTACACAACTTTCAAGAGATACATTTGAGAGTCTAATTCAAAAGCTACTAAATTGAAGATTAAATTTGTCTAAGATTTGAAGTAAATATTTAAACCTAATCTTAAAGACAATATAATTCTTTTCATATGTAATCGAGTTGACTCATGAACCTAACGAGTCGAACTATGTATAGTTCAAGTTCAGCTCATTTAGTTAACGAACTTAATTTTTCGCTCATACTCAACTCATTTGGTTCATGAACCTAGTTCAACGATTTAATTGTCGAGTCGAATTCCGAACTATCTTCGAGTTGGTTTGGTTCATTGCCAGCCCTAACCACAGTTAATTAAACGACCATTATAATATGGTGTTACAAAGATATATTTTATAGTAGTGATCAATGAAAAATCTCAAGTTAATTGGCTTAAAATATCATGATTGTCATGTCTTGATTCAGTAACTTCTGGCAGTGGCTACCCGTGACATCTTATCGAAAAATATAAGAGTAACTATAAAGAAATTCTGCTTATTCTTTAATGCTATATGTAATAAAATTCTTGATTTTAAAAAATTATATGAATTATAAAAAGATGTTGCAATAATCTTGTGTCAATTGGAGATGTATTTCATAATCATTTTTTGAAATTATGGTTAACTTAATTGTTCATCTAATCCGAGAAATCGAATTTTGTGGTCCAATTTATTTAAGGTGGATGTATCCAGTAGAGCGATACATGAATATCTTTAAAGGATATACAAAGATTCGTCACTGACCTTAAGCTTCGATTGTAGAAAAGCAGAAGAAGTTTTAGAGTTTTGTTCAAACTATTCACTACTATAGAAAACACCTATCGCAACGGTTGGTAAAGGGATACCACCACGTTGGTGTGATTGTATGTATGAAGCTTTCTGATGGGTCATCATGAGGGGGCAACATTCACATTGAGCCAAACACTCATTTAAAGGTCAAAGACTCACCCAAACAAGTGAGAGAGACATCACATATTCACCAAAAACCTTAAGGTGATAGGTGTATGAGTCATCTTACTTATAAAGTGCTCAACCTCCACTTTTCTAAGCAATATGAGACTTAGAACTTACACTTGATTCTCAACAACTCACATTTTCCCAACACTTTTCACCACAGACGTGCGACTGTGATTATATCTATTAACGCACTACCTACCATAATGATTATTTTAAACAACCGTTGTGATATTCTTTAATGTAACATATTTAACAACGGTTTTGCTAAACAACCATTGTGATATATACACTTGAGTTTATTATAATTTATGTGGAATGCTTATTTCGCCAATGCTCATTAAACATATAACCTTTCAATCTGAACTAGAACATTATAATATGACAAATTAAGTTATATTAGAAGAACAAGTTCACGTTCAATGCCTGACAAGAGTTCTTCAACTCCTTATCCGTATTTTTCTCTTTAATAGTTATAATTTTATTTAATTATCCTACTTATTCAACCACCCTTGCCTTCACCTCTAGTTTATTTAAAAAAATATTATTTACTTTACAAACAAAATTAGAGGTGGAGATGGGTGGTTGAAGAAATACAATCATTAAATAAAATTCTAATGGTTAAAGAACAACATACAGATAATGGATTGAAAAATTCTTGTCAAGAATTGAACATCTACTTGTTTTCTAATACAACTTTATCTATCATATTTAATAATTTTCTAATGCAATATGAAAAATTATATATTTGTTAAGGGATTAGAAAAATTCAAACCACATAATATATAATAAACTCATCTTTTAAACAAACATTAACAACATTCATAAAAAATATTCATCAAGAACAAACCATAAATAACATACACGATACAATAAGCATATCAAGTCATAGAATGCTTCAGAAATGTACCGTACATGTCTCATAATGACGTGTCCACAATAAAAGAAGGATGGAGCTGCAGTTACAGTTGCAAACTCGTGTCTATTTTGAATGGATGTTATTTTGCATCTTTCATACAAGTTTGCAATGCTAACTTTAACTTCGTCCTCTTTATTGAAACAAGCATCCCTACCCAAGTCAAAACAAGCAGAAAGTTCAAACATTATGAAACAAGCTATCATAACATAAACAATAATACATAAATCGATTTTGAAACAAAAACTATAGTGAAAACGAACATATAAATAGTCATTGGCTAAGATTTGATGTTATGGTTTCATTTTGGGCTTTTCATATAAGAGAGACGAGTGACAAAGTTGTTATAGAGTCTCATTTTAAGAGAGACGAGTGAAAGAGTTGCTAGGGTTTTGTTTTGACAGAGACATGTGTTATGTACTGAAGCGAGAGATAATTTCGCTTATGTATAAATAAGTAGCACATATCACAACGGTTGAAAACAAAAATCGTGGTGATATACAAGGTCAATCACATTATTATCACGATAAATGAAAAATTATTGGTTCTGAGATTCAAACCATTTCACTTCATGTACATGTCACTATGGTTGCTACATATGACCGTTGTGACATGTCCTTTAGTAAATAAAAAAAAACACCCAAAAATAAACTATTACCACAGTTAACATGAAGACCGTTGTAAAATTGGTGTTACGAATGATCTATTTTGTAGTAGTGATTTGTTGGAAGTAGAGTCTATAGGAATTCCAAAGTCTCGTCATGCTGACAAATATGGAGGCAGAGGTACTCAAGGTTCAATTGTTATGTCAATGCCTCGAGATATAGTTCTTCAAACTTATTTGTATATATTGAATAATACTGATGAAGTTCAACATTACTTATCTAATCATAAAAGACTTATCAAGAAAAAATATCTCTGAATGAGTGACAAGTGGTTGTTGAAAGAACATAACAATAATTTTATAAGTTGGTCTAATGAAAAGATTTCTAATGATGATTGTGCATTCGAGATAATTTAATAGATGTCACATGCCAAAATTTAATGTAGTTACTTGGACTGAATATGACATTACTATTTTTTCTTTTTATACAAAATCAAAAGATGATCATAGTATAATGCAAAATAGTGGGGTTATGGCTGAGGCTAAATTCATGTATTTCTTTAATTCAAAGATAAGAATCCTATATTGGCATCTAGAGCAAATTTTGGGGTCATTGAGGAGATTTGGAAGATTCATTACGTTTTTTCAAAGTGTCTTTATTTAAATTCAAGTGGGTTGACAATAAATTGATGTACAAACCAATGAGTTAGGATTCACATGTGTTGACCTTAGAAAGACAACTTATATGACTGAACCATTCATCATGGTTACCCATGTAAAACAAGTGTTTTATGTCATTGACCCTTCTAAAAAAAATGGTCAATTGCTCTCCGAGAAAAACACATTCCGCATAATGAACAATAATCCTCATATTTTTTTATACTAATTTTGTTTATTAATTATTTAGTATTTCATAATCAAACACTTGGATAAATAAGAGTTTATAGATTACATAGTACGTTATTGCTTTTTCACCGCTTTTTCACCGAGCTTTTTTCAAACATAAGGACTCTTTTTATTGAAGATCCAACTAAACGTAGGTCTCATCTTTTGCACCCGCTCATCAGCACGCTCTCGTAGCCTCCTAATCCTGGATACATGTCCACACACGACCTCTTGTGCATGTTTTCCCTCACTGGTTAAACCTTCTATCTTCTCCAATCTCCATTGTCTAATCAAGAACTCTAGATTATCAATGTAGTCACTAACCGTGTAGACACCAATGCGTTGTGCCACAGCAGAGAAATGGCTAAAGAGATGTGGGTCTCGTCCATCATGCATCAAGTGCCCGGGCATCGTTATATGTCCACTCAATATTTTTGATATGGCTATCATCGTCTCTGTGGGGTCCACTTCTAAAAGTCTCTCAACAATCCTCTCATATGCAATCTCATGACGCTTCTCATCCGCAGCAATCGTTCCACATATGCATGAAAGAATTCGATCACCCCTTTCCCTAGCCAGTCGAGCCAAACAACCGTCCGACACAAAAGTGGCTCGTTCTTGAAAAGATGTATACACAAAGCCCATATACGGGTTATTTTCAGTTCCTATATCCTACACCACAAACGATCAATTTAGTATGATAAGATATGATTGAACATGTATATGAAAAAACTAAAATGGTTTTGCTAGTGTGTAAGTAAAAATCAAATACATCACCATGCCAGCTCCAATCAAGTATTGGATAGTCTTTTCGACCATTTGCATATCAACTCGACCAGTTAGATAGAGATATGTTTTGAGCAAATCTCCATGTCTATTCTCCTCCGCAGTCCATGATCGCGACCATATAGCCCATGGATTGTTGCTTGCACCGGTCTCATCTGCAACCCCACCATCCAAGTTGTTTAAATAGGATTGGTATGTAGGCAATGCTTCCTCAGTGATCATGTTACCCACCAGAACTGCCAGATAATCGTCCGGAAGCCCAGCCGTTCGATCCCTTAACTCCTTCACTTGATCGATGAACTCGTCTGACGGTAATGTTGAGTTTGGCAAGAAATCATGTGGCTGCCAGCATTCCTCCACATGTTTGGCCAGTGGCAATACACGTTCTGATACCCAACTCTCTAATGACTTGAAAATTTCTTTCTTCTCAGGAGGCATTGAGTGTGTCAATTTGGTTTTTTGGAATGTTTTGGTGGGGGCATTTAGGTGGCACTGTGTTGGAGTCCACGAATGTGATGTTCCTAACTGGGAGCACATTGCCATCAACATGGTTTGCTATTATTCCTTTGTTATTGATTAGAGAAAACATACATTTGTTGAAACTAGACAACCTAGCCGTTACTTATATATACTCAACTCATATCTATTTGTTTTCTGTTTTTTGTTTTTTGTTTCTAAACATAACATCATTTGCACATGTTCTTTAGATGAATTAATTACATGGTGGTACAATAGTAGGTAAGATACTCATAAGTTTTTGTTTTGAGGTTGTTTTTTTTCATCGTCTGGAAGCCCAGCCGTTGGATCACTTGAGTGAGAGAGAGTATATTAAAGCTAAACATGTGCAAATTCAGTATTTCTGACCGATATAAAGAGTTTCTAAGTAAATTAAAAATGTTTGTTGAAATCAATCTCATCTCATAGCTACATTTCGTACGATAACAATAAATACGTGGAAGCTACCATTGTACGAGTCAATCGAATTCCATAACTATTTGACATGTTTAAAGTAAGGAACTTCTACTGTGTCACTTTAATTGGTTAATAAAATTATATAAGTGCAGGAAATTATGCCTAAGCCACATTAGCTTTATAGTGCAGAAACTTTTTAATTATTGTAGATTAGTCCTCTATTAAATTGATAATAATTTATAAATTAAAAACAAATTTTATTTTAATTTAATAATTTTTATTTAACAAACATATTCAACTGTTCATCGATCTTGTTCTTCTTCTTTTTTCTTTCAATTTCAGAAGTTAAAATTTCAATTAAAAATTCTAAATTCTTAAATCTCGTCCACATATTCTTTGAACTCTTTATTCTTCTTCCTTCTACCAATTTATGAGGTCTGAATTGCAATTGAAAACTCTAAATCCCTAAATCTCACTCACCCGTTCTTCGAATTCCTTCATCTTCTTCTCACAATTTCGACCTCTTCCCTCTCACCCAATTTTGTAACTGTGTTCATGTTCGATTTTTAACTTCCAGAGAAAATGCTCGTGAAATTCGTATTGGTTGCGGTTGGTGTTCATCAAATCGTTTGTAAATATTCGTGGTTGGTTCAAAGAAATAGTTCAATGTTGTCCTTTGATTGTATAGGTAGCTGTGACTTTTCATCTCAGTTTGTATATTTTTCGAAAATCAAATTTATTTTAGTTATTACACATGAGTTATTGATTGCGTTAGAGTTCGTATTTTATTGAAATTTATAAATTATGAAACTGATTTGAATTCTTACCCATAAATTATGTAGCTGGGGATTAGAGCTCAATATGATATTGCAATAAACGTGTCTGGTGTGTCGTGCTCTTTGCATCTTATATCATTTTAGATGACTTTTTCTATTCAAAATAATGTAGGGTTCTCTTGCTATACGGGAAGTGCATTTCACCTTAAATATGATCAACAGATGCTAATTACATGCTATCTATATTGAGGTATCAACTTGAAAGAACTTTCCTCATGAGGTATCAACATATGAAGAACTCTGTCAAACTGATAAGAAAATAGTCACAACATTATAATTGAACAAATTTTTCAGTTTTGTTTGAATAATACCATGTAACCACGAACAGATAGTGAACATATAGTTGGCAAGAACATCTTATGCAAGTGCCCTAAAAGGTTGTAGAGGCACTCATATCTCCTATGAGGGGAGAAGCAAGAATTTTATCAAATTCACAAATTCTGAATTTGCATTTAGTATTGTGAAACATTCCTTGATCATTTATTTTTTAAATTTCCTGCAATTAAGTAATGAATACAATGTCTGCACTCTGATCCCATGTAAATAATTCAAAGAGAAAATGGATGGTATTGACAAGCCCAAGTGCTTTTTCTATGTGGGATGCAATGTCTCCCCCAAATGGAATACATGTGAGTAAATTTGAGATAATATACTCTGCATTTGAGTTCAATAATATAAACTTTATAGTTACAAAATGAAGGTTGTTTAATATGCCTTAATGATTAGATAAGTCCAAAATTTTGATAAATTATGATTTATCAAATGTAGTGATAAACATGTAATTTGTGTAGAACCATATCATAGATAATGCTCTATATTTTAGTTCAAATTTACAGGCATGTTGTTCGATGAGAACTGTTGTTTATCTCCAATATCAAATTGTTAAAGAGCTTAGATTAATACATGAGTAAATATTTTAAACAATCCTTTTGTCAGCTTTAGAATTTAGGTTTTATCATTATTTTCCTATATTTCTTATGAATAAATGAAGGATGACGACGACTCTGTCATTTTGCCGGCCGCAACAGCTGGCGACTTTGCTGGGGAATCTCTTGTAAATAATAAAATCAGTTTAGTAATGAATAAATATTTTAAACATTCCTTTTGAAGAAACATTTACTAAAAACTTAACGCACGCGCGTGCGCGCACACACACAGAGAATTAATAAGAAAGTTTTAAAACCAATTTGTGACGTAGGAATCGAACAAAAAACTTACACATTAAATAGTTCCTTATGACATAAAAAAATATTAATAAATAAATGAAAAAGTAAACAAATAACTAGTTTATTCTTAATCAATCAAACAAGTTTCTTTTTTAAAGAAACTATTCATAGAAAAGATTGACACACACATAGAAGTTTAGTGACTGCTTACTTATGATTTTAGAAGAAACTTTCATAAAAAAGATTGAAAATCATCATAGAAACACACACACACACGTAGAAGTTTAGTGACTCTTACTTATAATTTTAGAAAAAACTTTCATAGAAAAGATTGAAAATCATCATAGAAAAAAAAAAACACACACACACAGAAGTTTAGTGACTGCTTACTTATGAAACACTAACTAATCCTGATTCATTTGCTTATTAACATGTTATATGAACCAATGTTACATTAAGCGATAATAAAGATCATTGGTTACTAGTCTTTGAATTTAGAAGTCCTGGACACACTCAAACTTTATTGCTAAAACAATATAGTTCATGGCACACACTTATTAATGTTAAAAAGATGAGTTATTACCTAAATGATATCACATTAATCTCATATTTGAATTTTTTTTTATGAGTCTCATAGTACTCCTCCCTGAATTGTATAGAACGAGTTGAAGTATTTAAAGTCCTGTTACTCCTTACTATTTGTTGCATTTGTTTCGGGCTTGCTGTGTTTTGTGCGTCTGTTTCCCATTGTAGCTGGAGAGTTTTATTTCATTTTAATTATTTGTGCTTGATTGATCAGTGTAGAATGCAATTCAATTGTCACTAGATTTATGAAGTTGTAAAGGTTTTGGAAGCTAGAGTTGTAAATGTTTTGGAAGCTGGAGTAATTAGCTTGGAAGTAAAGTAAGTTATGATGATTTTGTATGCTCAATGTACTTCAAAAAATCAACTCATGGTGTTGTGCTAAAGTTGTAATAAATTTTTGAATTAGTCTTTTTCTTGTAAAAAAAATCGTAATTTTTTTAATGTAATTAATTTAAAATATTTATTTAAAATGTTGTGTGCATTTTCATTGGGCTATTGGGTGTAAAAACATACTACCTGCGTACTAATTGGGTCCAGTATATACATTAAAAAATGAATATAAATGACATTAGGTTTTACTACAATTTTTTATTTATTTAGAATTTAGAATTTAGAATTTAAAATATGAGTGGTCGGGAAAGAGGAAATGCTCCTATTATCTCCATTTCGTCTGACAGTCTTTAGATTTTTGTTGTGTTAAGTGTTGTTTGCATGTATTTTGACATTTGGCATTTATGTTGTGTATACATCTTGACCTATTTGTATTATGTTATTGTAGTTCGTCTTTAGATTCAGATAGCAAAAAAGAAGAGATTCAACAGACTTTGCCATCGAGGATAGCCGAGGCCGAGCCCAAAAACAATGGCACTGATGAATCTTTAGAGGAGAGTGAAGATGACAATGATGATCTTGTGCTTTTGTATTGGGAGAAAACTATTAAGTCTGCTTCAAAGGCAAAAAAAAAAGTTTTGTAGTAAATATATGATAACAGTTTTATTTAGACATCCACAAAGTATTGATTATCGTGTTCTAACGTTGTATGTTCTATTTACAGTATTTTCCAAGACCATTTTCAGAAAGAGTATTAGATAAGAATCAAGATTCAATCCAACTTATTGATGTTCAAAATGGAAAAAATGTATGAGTGTGATGTTTACACTGCCAACTGAGACATAGATGAGAAGTACATTGCAAATGGTTGGTACGAATATGCAAAGGAAAAGAAACTCCAAAAACGTGATAAACTGGGATTTACTATGCCTTTTGGTCCTAAGAGGTTATATGTAAAGAGGTTGAACCGTTAAATCGGAAAAAGGGGAAAAGAGTTTGATTGGAGAAGTTATAGGATTAGTCAGGGTTTTATATTGCAGGATTGTTAGTATAGACCTGTGTTTATTAGAAGTAATGTTTATTTTGTTATGATTAATGGTTGCATTAAGAATGAGAGTTTTATGAAAAATTGAAGTATGTATTGTTAACTTTCTTCATAATATATATAAATATTATGCCTTATATTTATTATGATTTAATTTCAAAAATCTTCTAAAACTAAATACAGATAAAATGTTTATAATTATAGACACAAAACTGAAATGTTATGTTGTACAAATAAAAGTAGATGTAGTCCCTCTAAATTGTTTAAAAAGTAAATTTTAATAATAATAAAGTAGTAAAGTTGTACTCTGAGATGTACTAGTATGTTAAGGACAAGAGTGAGTTTATGGAATGAGTTAATAACAATTTTTTTTTGCTCTTTTAAGAATTGACATGATTTATTGGTAATCGTTTATGGAATGTTTATAATAACTAAAATTAGTACTCCAATATTTATCGTGTATCCTGTCCTACGAAAATTGAGTATAGTCAAACATTTTTTTTTTGTAGTTTTAGTTGAAATAACATTAAATAGTAGTAGAATGAAAAAAGCGAAGTCAAATAAAATAGTAACTTCATACTCTTTGAAAAGCATGCAGTAGATTTTTTTATGCGTGTGTTGATGGTGCAGATTAAGTGATGAAAAGAGATGTTTTCCATATTTGCAATTAATGTC